AGTCGGCTGAGAGGAAGCGCAGTGCCCTCCCTTCCTAGAGAAGCTTGAGGCCACAGAGCTGCCTGCCATCCTCCAGCCTGGGGCCCTTTCCTGCTACTGGGAGCTCTTGCAACTGCTACATCCACTCTCTGAATCAACGTGAAGAGAGAGGGGAGATGGTACTTCTCTCCTACATTAGTGCAAGTGTAGGAGCCAACCAAACTTGCCGGGCCCTACCCATGATGACCTGAAAGACAGGGCTTCTGCTGGACTCGGGCCTTTGTGGCTGAATGTGACTAGCCAAACTGCATAAGAACCAACACTTCTTCCATGAAAGGCTGATAAATGAGTGCACAGAAGACAATCAGATGGCGCGCCAGTGTCAGGGCTGAGGCTGAGGCAGCCTCCTTGAACCACAGGATCCAGCTGGTTGAAAAGGAGCTGGGTGGTGCTCAGAGTGCCTGACCACTAAAGCTGCTGATGAGAGTGAGAGAGGGCTGAAGGTTATTGAAAACCAGGCCTTAAAAGATGAAACTCCAGAAAATACAGCTCAAAGAAGCTAAGCAGATTGCAGAAGAGGCAGATAGGAAGTATGAAGAGGAGGCTCGTAAGTTGGTGATTTTTGAAGGAGACTTGGAACCCACAGAGGAAGGAGCTGAGCTGGCGGAGTCCCATTGCTGAGAGATGGACCAGCAGACGATGGACCAGAACCTGAAGTGTCTGAGCACTGCTGAAGAACAGTGTTCTCAAAATGAAATAAATATGAGGCAGAGCTGATTCTTACTGATAGACTCAAGGAGTCAGAGACCTATGCTGAGTTGGCTGAGAAATCGTAGCCAGGATGGAGAAGACAATTGATGATTTGGGAGACAAACTGAAGTGCTCTGTACACAAATGACAGGGACCAGACTCTGCTGGGCCTGAATGAGACTTAGCCCCCCAGTCCCACCCTGCTGCGCTTCTCCCTCTGACCCTGACTCAGCCTGAGGCCAGCCTGCCCCAAGCTGACCTGTCAACTGAGGGCTGATCTTTAACTGGAAGGCTGCTTTCTCCTTTAGCAGCCCCCTCCATCCCCCACCCACCCTCGCCATGTCTTTTTCACCAGACTGCCTGTTTCTTCCCAGAGATTCCAGCACAATGCACAAGGTCTGCAAAAGCCTGTTGGGACGCACAGATTTTGTAACTACCTTTTTTGTTGTTGCTATAGCAACCATTTGTGAAACATTCCAAATACTCCCCCAGCTCTGAAGCAGCAATCTAATCCCTTTCTCACTTTGGAATACTTTTTCAGCTTAATGTATATTGCCCTCTCCTCAGAGGAGGGCTGCCTTACTGAGAACCCAACAGAGTCCAGGGAAAGGAGGACTGCCTTACTGAGAACCCAACAGAGTCCAGGGAAAGACTCCTCTATGGGAAACCTCACTGCTCTGTACAAAGTTCCAGCCAAACCCAAAAGGTAATCCCAGGAGGAGTTAGCCAAAAAAAAAAAAAAAAAAAAAAAATCCTGTTCAGGTTTTCAACTATAAGATATCTTTGGACCACTTTTTTTTTTTT